TGAGCTGAGATCAAGAGTCAGAAGCATAGCTGACTGAGCCACCCAAGTTGCTCTCTACAGCATCTTTCTATTATTCTCTGGATCATATTCAGGTGGTTGGTTGTAGGGTACAGACAACCTAGATTTTTATAAAATCTGGGTTCCTATCAGAATGTCAGTTATGACAGTTTTGGCAAGAGGAAATGAGACAAATAGGATTTGCAAACAGACTGTTTGGTGTGAAGAGAACAAAAGGAAGCTGTTAATTGAAAAAATCATCTTGATAATAAAGTCAGAAACCTTTTAACAAAAAAGTAAATTCTTTATTTTTTTCAACAGTCTGCTGGATTTGCAATTACCTTTAAATAAGAACTTTCTTAGTGTTAATATTAAGCTTTTGTAGTATCAGAAATTCTCTGTATCCTTAAAATATTAATATCCCTTGAAGGCAGTATTTTCACATTTTAGAAGTATGTAAGCTTGCTTCCAGAATTATTGAAGTACAAATACATTTCTGCTGTGTTGTAGGTTTCATATTGTACACATGCATTATTTTATTTAGATTTTTAAAATCATCAGAGGATAGAATATTTTGCCCTATTTTATTTTTGTTTGTTTATTTGTTTATTTTATTGTAGTAAGAAATTTAACATGGGAACTATCCTCTAAAAAATTTTAGTGCCCAGTACAGTACTGTATATTAATGTACAGCAGATCTCTAGAACTTACTTATCTTGCATAACTAAAACATTATACCAACTGTACAGGAATTCACTATTCTCCCTTCTCCGGCCCCTGACAACACCATTTACTCTCTGTTTCTATGAGTGATCTTTTTTTTTAAAATGTAAGCTCTATGGCTAACGTGGGGCTTGAGCTCACGACCTTGAAATCAAGAGTATGACTTATCATGTTAAATAGCTCATATAAATGTCCTTCTATGACTGGCTTATTTCATTTAGTATGATGTCTTCTCAGTTCATTCATGTTATCATATATGGCAAAATTTCTTCTTTTTAAAATCCAAATAATATTCCATTTTATGTATATATCACATTTAAAAAATCCATTCATATATTGATGGACATTTAGATTGTTTTTATATCTTGGTTATTGTGAATAATAATGTTATGAACATGGGTGTACAAATATTTGTTCAAGACCTGCTTTTACTACTTTTGTGTTTATGCCCATAAGGGAATTGGATGGTAATAGATCCAATGATCTAGATCATATGGTAATTCAATTTTTAATTGTTTAAAGAAACTGTCATTTGGTTTTCCATACTGACACTATTTTATATTTGAAACAATAATTTTATAAAAGTTTAATTTCAGGGGTGCCTGGGTGGCTCAGTCAGTTAAACGTCCCACTTCAGTTCTGATCATGATTTCATGGTTTGTGGGTTCAAGCCCAGCATCGGGCTTTGAACTGACAGTGAGGAGCCTGCTTGGGATCCTCTCTCTCTCTTTCTCTCTCTGCCCTTCACTCACTTGCACTGTTTCTTAAATTAATAAACTTAAAAAAAAATTTCATTTTCATATTGTACACCTGAAACTAATATTATGCTGTATGTTAATCAGCTGTAATTTAAATAAAAACTTAAAAAAATGTTTAGAAAGGTAGTAAGGAAAAAAAATGTTTCAACTTCTCTACATCACTTACCTTTTTTGTTTTTGTTTTTGTTTTCAACAGTTGCCAGCCTAACAGGAGTGAGGTGATATCTCACTGTAGTTTTGATTTTAATTTCTCTGATGATTAGTAATGTTGAGTATTTTCTCACATACCTGTTGACCATTTAGAAGATTTTTTTGGATGTCCATCGACTAATGAATGAATAAGGAAGATGTGTATATACACATTGGAATATTACCTAGCCATCAAAAACAATGTAAGCTTGCCATTTGCAATGATTTGGATGGAGCTAGAATGTATTATGTTAAGTGAAATAAGTCAGTCAGAGAAAGACAAATACCATATGATTTCACTCATCTCTGTAATTTAACTAAAAAAACTGGTGAACGTATGGGAAGGTGAAAAAATATATAGAGAGAGAAGGAAACAAACCATATGAGACTATTAAAGACAGAGAACAAAATACGGTTGATGAAGGGAGGTGGGGGGATGGACCAGATAGGTGACGAGTATTAAGGAGGGCACTCGTTGTGATGAACACTAGGTGTTGTATGTAGGTGATGAATCACTGAATTCTACTCCTGAAACCAACTCTGCACTGTATGTTAACTAACTAGGATTTAAGTAAAAAATTGAAAAGGAAAAAAAAATGTTTTCTTTGGAGAAATGTCTACTTAAGTTCTTTGCCCACATTTCAGTTCATTTATTTTTAAATTAGGTAATTGAGTTGTAGCTATTTTTTATATATTTTGGATGCTAATCCCTAATCATATGCATATTATTTATAAATATTTTCTCCAACTCCATAGGTTACCTATTCAGTTTATCATTTCTTTGTTGTACAGAAGATTTTTTAGTTTGATTTAGTGCCCTGTTTATTTAATTTTTGTTACTTGTGCTTTCAGTGTCATAGCCAATAAATCACTGCCTAAATTGCGAAGTTTTTCCCTAGGACTTTCAAAATTTCAGGCCTTATATTTAAATTTTTAATCAATTTTAATCCTTTTGGCATTGGTATTTATGTGCAGTTTAAGAAAAATATCCAATTTCATTATTTTGCATGTGGATATCTCGTTTTCTCAGCACACCTTGTTGAAGAAACTAATCTTTTCACCATTGTGGAATCTTGGCAACCATGTCAAGAATCAGCTGATCATATATGTGTGGAATTTGTTGACAAAATTCAACTGAGGGGAGCCTGGGTGGCTCAGTGTGTTGAGCCTCTGACTTTTGATTTTGGCTTGAGTCATAGTCTTACAGTTGGTCGGATCAAGCCC